CCCCAAAACCCCAAAACCCCAAAACCCCAAAACCCCAAAACCCCAAAACCCCTTTTTGCCAGAAATAAATTGAATGTTTTATATAATTAGACTGCTCCATAAGCACTACTTGGCGTTTCCTCTTCTTGCTTGTTGATCTCAGAGAGTTCATGGCTCGGATTATTCTCTTCATCTCTTCCAAAATTAACTCTCACTTCTGAGTTGAAGCTGTCGTCATTATTTTCTTTTTTGCTGTTAGTTTTGAGGACATCATCTGGATCGAACTCGTAATCAGCGCTCATATGTGTTTCCTCTACCTCATCCATCTCAAGTTGGGTATCCTCTTCAAATTGGAATCCAGATTTTACCCTGTTAGAAACACTTTTGAAGAATTTTTTAATTGAATCCTCTCCATTCTTTTCTTGATAGTTCCCATATACACGCATCAAGACTGTCAATACTGCCAGGATGATGATACTGAGGAAGAGTAAGGCAAAGAAATCAAATACGAATGAGTCCTGGAATTTCTTCTTGATCAAACCAGTGGTGGTGAGTCCTTCTCATTCCTTTGTTACTTTGAATACATAATTCGAGTGGAAAGCAGGCCTAAACTGAAGTTCAACAGTCTCAGCTTCAGTATCGAGACTGATACAATTAAATTCTAGCTTGAAATCAGTGTATTCTCCTGGCTCTAAGATATGGGATCTGGCTCCTGGACCTCTAAGGACGGGATAGACAACACTCTCAGCTTCGTTTGATACTCTCACGATTGGAGGATCCATCTCGACACTCGTTCCTGAACCTGTAGGTGCTGTATTCTGAACTCTAAATTTCAAACTTCCTTTGCTCTTCTTAATGACAGACTTATCGCCGCTTTCATCAAACAAATTCTCAGGATAATTTGAAGCTCCTCCATTATCAGTGAGCACATTCTTCTTTAATCCCCAATAAGATGTCTCTGAGATTTCAATTGGAGCATAAGCATAACTTCCTCCGCATTTCTTTCTAATTCCTATTAAAAGTTAGCATTTTATTAATCTCTAACCTGATATAAAGTTAGTAGACTAGAGCAATAAAAACATTCTACAGTTCAGAAAGATTACGAGAAGTATGACACTTACCTATAGTAGTACAGCTCTCTCCATCAAGAGTAAGTTTCAGCCAGACATCAGTCACTCCAGTCAAATCCGTTGTGCAGTCGTAGGTCAGAGCAATCTTAAATTGATCTTTATCATCTCCAATAGAGGAGACCTTAGAACTAACAGTTGTAAGTTTCCCTCTAGCTACCTCAACATCCACACTAGGGTCATCGTGAAGGGTGATACCTGAGAGGAAGAATGTGCTCTCATCGATGTTAGACTTGACCTCTACATCATCTTCATCTCTAATTCTCCTAAACTGCTTGTATTTATCAGTAGGAGTTCCACTGAGCATCACGTCGGTCGCTCCTTTTTCAGTCCCAACTCGCAAGGTATCACAGCTAGTTGCAAGTGCATTAGCGAGAAGGCAAAAAGCAATAATTGTTGTAAATATAATGGTGGATGTCCTCATATCTAAATTTTATTCAATAATTATCTCACATAAGGGGTTTTGGGGTTTTGGGGTTTTGGGGTTTTGGGGTTTTGGGGTTTTGGGG